TAGTAGATATCATGACGATCTGTGACATGATCCCACACATGATGCAAATTGAATATTTTTCATCATTTGTGTGATGATGTTATGATATCACCTCTCTGCCCATGGTGGAATAAGTTTTCCCCCATAACATTTATAAAAGGAAAAAGTTGAGGAGTTATAGATAATGAAAATGACAAAGATAGAAATAGATAGAAAGATAGATAGATAGATAGATAGATAGATAGATAGATAGATAGATAGATAGACAGACAGACAGACAGACAGACAGACATCATAGCATCCGTTTTATCATTTAAAAGATAGCTGTCATATTCTCGTCAAACTGAATAATAATTTTTGAAGCATTCACACTTCTGTGGAAATGTAGACAGCCCAATATTAAATGTCTAACATATTGTGATGAATGGTAAGATTCTGCAGAATGGTCTTTTCTTTAGTTTGTCAAGGTTAATTTATAAGCACTTTTGGACAATCTCCAGGACTCCCAATATTATTTTTTTTTTTTAGAAATTTTATTGAGATTTTTTAAAGAACAAAAAAGAAATAAAAAGAAAAAACAAACAAACATTCAAACAATAACGTAGAACACATAAATATAATATACATTTTCAATTTGTATCGGATGTGCAGTGTTTTAACTATTTACATAAATAATACTTGGTGACATTTTAACTCACTTTTAACCAATATTTTACACACCTTTAGATCTTTCTTTCATTTTATCATGCAACCACTTGTACCACCTTTCCCACACCATATAGTAAACTGACTTTTCATCATTTAATTCATAAGTTAATTTAGTCATCTCTGCGCACTCGAGTATTTTCTTAATTGTAAGCTCTTCTGGTGGTTGATTTTTCTCTTTCCAGTACTGTGCGTATGCCAATCTAGCGGCTCCCAATATTATAGCTTCTCATCTCATTTTTTCCTGAAATATTTTCCCTTCCCCTTTCAAAGGCTGGCATTTGCAAATGAAAGAATGAGGCATTTTAACAATTTTTATGAATCTTTCCATGAACAATTATAAAAAGACAATGCTGGAGACATTGGAGAAATATTTTATGTTATGAGCCGCCCTAAGTCTTCGGAGAGGGGCGGCATACAAATTGAATTAATAAATTAAGTTGCTTGGTAATTCTGAAAGTCCCAATCCAATTGGAAGGTAGCAATATGGGAGAAGATTGCTGTAGGAAATAGCATTCAGCCAAATAAGTGGTTAGAAAAGTGAACTTTTCCTCTTCCCTTTCAAGATGGATTCTCATTCAGCAACACTAGAAACATTGACTAGAAATGTGCATACCATGAAAGTTTGAGTGTTACCTGCTGTGAGTTTTCTAACTAATAGTGTATATTCACTAATTGACTTTCCTGATAGTGACAGGATGAAATCTTTGTGATGAATGGAAGTCCAGTTCTAGGATCATAGAATATGGTCAAATACATCCTCAATACCTCAACTACAGAACAATTTATAAGCAGATGCATTTGATATGGGACTTTTAGCGTATGGTCCCTTAATATTCATTATTAATGAAGACTTATGTTTTAACATAGTTCAAGCTTTCTTTTACATTCAATAAATTCTGCAAAAAGTAGCTTAACTACTGCAGGCTACTTCTACTGACTGTCGACTGCCTGCAATTTGGCAGTTCGAATCTCACCAGGCTCAAGGTTGACTCAGCCTTCCAACCATCCGATGAGGGTAAAATGAGTACTCAAATTGTTGGGGGCAATATGCTGACTCTATAAACTGCTTAGAGAGGGCTGTAAAACAGTATATAAGTTTAAGTGCTATTGCTATTGCTATTAACTGTACCAAACTAATTGAAGCTACCTTTAAAAAAAAAAAAATGACTGATTTTGCTCGATATTATGGTATGGTATATTAAGGTATCTTATCCTTTACTACAGTGATCCAATTACATTTAACTGGACAAGTCTAACTCATGAGAAATGTATTTCTTTTTGGGAATTGGATTTGTTTTGCTTTTTAAATATAGATTTCATGCGCATTACTCAAAAAGAGGGAGTAAGTGTATTTATTTCATTTGAGCTCTTGGTCTTAGCTTTGTTCTACCTGATAGGTAAGTATAATGTCATAAGCCACTTAACTAGGATAAATCCACTTACAGAACTCTACATTTTATTTAAGATTTCTCAAGACATGCAATGTTCACAGCATAGAATAATATAAAATGAAATGAAGAAATGCACTTGTTTTCACAATGAAAATAAGAAAGAAAGAAAGAAAGAAAGAAAGAAAGAAAGAAAGAAAGAAAGAAAGAAAGAAAGAAAGAACTTCAGTCTAACAGAATTCATTTCAGATAAATACTTTTATTATTGCTCAGTACAGTTAGGAAGGGCATAGTTTGACTTGTTCATGCCTATAGAAGAATTTTTACACAGAATCATACACACACCAAAGGTACCTTTTCAGATACAGACAATAATAAATACTGAATTAAAATTGAAGATATCAAATGCATTTGGTTGTAGTCTTACATTATGAATGCATAAAGCTTGGTAGGGACGTTTTGCTTCAAAGTAAAGGGTCAAACAAAGCACCCTCCAAAATTACTTTGCAGAGTAATGTAGCCCTTGCTTATAACAACAGAGAAAAGGGATTGCTTGCTTCAATTGGACTTATTCCTAAGGCTCTTGAGGCAATGGTATAGACTATAGAAGATAGCTTCATAATGTATGTACTACAGACTTATCTTTGGGTCAGAGTGCATACACATATGTCTCGGTAAAAAACATTGTTATATCTAGCTATTGTCACTAGTGAGGGTGAGGTGTCACATTGCATCAAAATAAATGCCCTTCTGATAGAGTCCTGACAGTAGATCCAGGGTAGTGTAGATATAGGTATTAAATGGTTTGCCCATTGGAGATACGGAAGAAGAAATCATTTTCAGGAATAGCAAAGAAGTTACAATCTTTGACATGTTAGCATGTCATCTGATTCCCATACCATCTTGCTATTCGCTGTGAAGATTTTACTGTAGCTCAGATCTAAATAGTGACCATTTTTCTTTAATAGTTTCCTTTACCTTTCTCTTTAGGGAATGTAGCTATCCTCAGTAAATTCAAATTGAACCGTCGTCTAATAAGTATTTTCAACTGACAGGGTCAAACAAATTACTGAGCACTGTCACCTATTCTTAAATAATTTCAATGCCCCAGTTAAAATTGTCTACAAGTGCACACAAAGGCACACAAAGGAGTCATCAATATCTACCCCACAAATAGATATTGTGGGAATATCTAAAATTTAATCCCAATCCTGCTCAGAACCACTATAATAAATCTTTCTAACCCTGGTTTGCTAAACTGTAATTTTACTGTATTCTGAGTATGGATTGTATTCTGAGCAAAGACTGAACAAACATTAGTATCAGCCTATACAGCTGCAAATTAACACAATGATCAGCACTCCCCAAAAATCTGTTTATAGGGGGGAAAAAAGATCAGCTGCCCATTGTACTATGAAATCAAGGCAATTTCTTCAATACTAGGATTTCATGGTATTTACATAATATAACAATATTATAATATATAAAATTATAATATAAAATACAGTATAAAATTATTTTACTTATATATAATAGCAATATACGTAAAGTTTATATTTTAATTCCCTCCAATCAGTTCATCTGCTTATCTCATTTTCTATAGTCGTCTCCTAGCCAGCTAATTTTTTAGCATATTATATCTGGAATGGCTAATGTTCTTCACAGTTATAAGAACATTCCTATTAAATAGTCCAAGTGTCTTCATGTAAAAAAAACTTATATTGACAAATTTGTGTTATATTTTCTAAGATACCTCCTTATGATTAGACAAATGCCCTGAATTGGTCCACTTCTTGGTCACAGCCCCTCTTTCCTCCTTCATTTAACAAAGCAGTTTTCTAATATTTACAAAAATTTGCTGATATCCAAACATGCATCACAAGCGCTGCTACAAAGATGTCTCAGAAAGTTTGTGCATTTATCAAAGTAAGTGAAATACAAAACTACATTTTTCATGATTTGCTCTCTTTTGAAGAACTGGAATAGCAAAAGGAGATGATGAACAGCCTGAAACAATGTTACATTTAAAAAAAGCTAAATATTTTAAATTAAATTTTAAAAGTTCTCAATGTGGTTAACAATGTATGTAAACTTCTCACCACAATGAAATGAGTAGAAGGCATTCAAAGGCAGAAATATTTTAAGACAACTGTAATGATTACACCAGCCCTTAAATCAAAACAAGAACCTTGATCCATGTCTGGAATACTGATATATTATCATTATATAAAGTGACTCTGGGTGGTTTACAGGTCATAAAAAGATAAATAGAAAAGCAGTTAAAAATTTAAATCTATGCAAATTAAAAATTTAAAACTATATAAAAAGCCAGGAACCAAGAGATGAACAATTGGTTGAGGTCAACCAACCAGCAAAACTTAATTTTAATACCCCTCCAGTAGGCCAAAAGGGTGGTAATAGTTCTCAGCTCCCATGGTAAAGTGAAAAGGCTCTTCTCCTTGATCCCACCGGCTGAAATTCCTTAGCAGACAGGCCACTTCCACTGGTGCAGGTGGAGCACACTAGTCCCATTGGGATTATATCATCAAGTTCATTAATTGATTTTGTGATTTGCTAGAACAGATGTTTGCATAAGCAGGGCTTCCTAACTGGAGCAAAGGGACTTTCCATGGCAAGCTTCATATTGCTGAGACAACAGAAAGATACTGCAGCTGCTCTACTGAATCTGGGGTTTCCTGATGCAGCTACCTGCTGAGTTCCTTCAAGTTTTTATGGATCCAGGTGTTTGTGTGTGTGTGTGTGTGTAAGGGGTGGATTTACTGGCATATTGCAATGCATATTAGTTGTCACCTAATAAGGGCATAGACATTTTGTCTCCCAGAAGGATATATGGTATACAGGGTTTTTTTTCCTTTGATGTTGGTTTTAAGAAACAACTAAATTTAACCCTTTTTAACATAGATCTCAGGTTCTAATATGCTTCTAACCAGTCAAGCAGGATGTCGAGTTCTCCAAGGGACTTCATTGCAGCAGATGTAACATCCATCTGAAAGTTGAATAAGATAAACATTTGGTAAAAGAAAAAGCAACTTGGAATGTGATAGTAATCCCCCCAAAATATTATAGTCTTTTTAAAATTTATTTATTATTGTTAATTCATCGTAAGTAACAATTCCCATAGGACTTTAAGTTTTATATCTCTAATTACCTGCTCATAGTTGATGATGATCTGTTGATACTTAATTATTGCATCTTCCCCACAATGGCACGTATTTTGATCATGCTAGAAAAATATTTTAACAGTCAGTCATTAGAGATTTTGTATGTGTTCCTTTATTCAGTGAATGCCATATTCAGCAGTTTGAAAGTGGGAAACTGCGAGTAGATAAATGAGTACCATTTTGGTGGGCAACTGAAGGAAGTGAAAGGAGCCCCCAACTGGAGTTCCCCCTAGGCAATAGTGATATCATTGTTCAATTATTTCCATCCAGAAGCGCTCCTGATATGACTGAATGCCATCAGGCTATATTATAATGAACACATCACTCTCTCCTCTAGTGGACTTGGTGATAAGTGCTAACAAAAAAGGGAACCAAACTTATGCAACTGAAGTATTAACATACTTTGGAGAAGCAGACAACATTGGAACAAATCTTTGTAAAAGTCAAAATTACTGGAAGCAATCATGTCAAAGAAACAAACAAATAACCACTAACAGCAGTGAATGTCAAGTGTCATTCAGAAAAAAAGTAAGAAAATGAAATGCAGAATATAAAAATGTAGAATGGCCTACTTGGCAAAAGTGGAATTTCAGATGGAATACTCCCATAAGGAGAAATTGTTTCAAATATGATTTATTATGTTCAATTCATGTTCAATCATGATGCTGCCAAACCACAGTGCAAATTTAGTTCCACATATAGCACAGAGACTGCTGATTCTTTGGGGTTAGAAATGTTTACTTGGCTGCTGATTCTTATTGCTCAGTTTTTATTTTTCAATTTTACATACAGATTCTCACAATAAAGTTCACAAATACATGAATTCTTTAACCCAAATAAAATCACCCTTTTAAGTCTCTCCTTAAGTGGAGAAGAAATCAGAAGAAAGTTTAACTTCTATCCCATTCTGCTTATTTAGAGATGGGCAATCTGCACAATGTTATAGTTCAGCTTCCTTTCAGCTAAATGGTCAAACATGACAGGAAGCTGTAGCTCTCCATACAACAAATATTCAAATCTATTATCTTATTTTCAAGTGACTTACACATTCTCTGAATTTCTTCTCAGTGCTGAGGAAGGAGTTGGCTATACCACTGACTTTCCGATTGATGAGAAGGCTTTCTGTCTCACAGTGTCTGAAGACTTTGTCCAGATAAAATCTTAAGATGAGGTGAATAAGACAACATCTATCTACAGACTTGAGAAAAGAAGTTTGGATTTATTGAGTCACTGTAACAGAAAGTTACACTGTAATCTAGAATCTTGCAGATTAAATCAGGTCAGTATGAGTAATTAATTAATTAGACTGTTCATCTTTTATGAAAAGCATTTGGAAGCAGTTCAGAACTCATTTCAAGCCTTTTTCAAAAATGTTGCCTCCAGCAGCATGTTATTTGCAGATAACATTCATTAAATCATACTTCTGTGGTCGTTTTCCTGTAGAAAATCATGGCAGTATTTATTCATTCAAATTATTTGATTAGCCATTTTGTGAATTTGAAGATAGTGTTGAAAGGACAAAGCGAGAAATCATTGATTGCCCTGTAGAACTCGCTTTTTCTCCCCACGAAAAATCTGATCTTTCATGAAGCATAATCCCAAGAATGGTTATATTGTAATAAAGCTACTCATGCTCCATGGATTTAAAGTTGCAGTTCTGTGTCTGGGATTACTTCAGAATAATTCTCCATGAGATTTCCTTATAGGTAGATATGTATGGAATCGCATGCTATAAATAGTCATAATCTATTATACTTGCATGCTAGCATGTAATCCTGTGAGTTCCCACATAAGGAGAAGCTGCCTGATCATAAAGAAATGTCCATGGAAATAAAACTGACGGGCAAGTCACTAGGCAGGGTAAAATTATGAAAATAAAAATGCTCAAAATTTCTCACAAGGTTTTGACCTATTTATTCATTTGTTAAATTTACAACCAGAAATTCAAAGCAGTATACATGATGTATGAGTAATTCTACTTCTCAATAATATCAATGAAGACAGAAACTGAGGGAACCTGGTCCAATGTGCTTCCATGACCCAGAAATAGATTTGAACTATACTGATTCAGGACATAGTCTAATATTTTAATTGGCACATATACTATATATGAGGACCCAGTTTGTGGGGGCAATAAGCTGACTTTGTATAAAAAAGAACACCACTTGTGGGGGGGGGGCAAAAGCCCTACTAAGCAGGTATATACAAAAGTATGAAGGCTATTGCTTAACACATTGTAAACCACCCTGAGTTTCCGGAAGAGGGCAGCATATAAATCGAACCAATAAATAAATACAGTAAATAAATATTTCCCCACCACCGAATCTAGGAAATTTGAGGATCTCTGGGTTTTAATTTAATTATTAAAGGGAATTTCTATTTTCCTTTCCATCTAATAAAAACAATATCTGCTAACTTATAAGTATTTTAAAATAACCAGCATATTATGTCATATTGCTTATGACACTACTAATATTTACATAAATAAAAAAGATTAGAGACCAAAATAGGAGTACAGCAAATAAACTAAAAAGAAATATACAACATGGAATTTTCCTCTTCAGGTGATAATTTAAATACAACTTGGCAGCCAAAAGCTTTCGCTAAGCAGTGGGGAATATGAGTTGAAATAAATTTTCCTAGGCAGAGAATTCCAGGCCCTGGGCACACTAAAGAAGAGCCTACTCATGGGATACTATATGAATTACAATTTCTATAATAATACTATACTTCCTTATCACAATTTCTTGGTGTAGTTATGAGCTAAGAGTTTCCCTTCCAGATTTTGCAAATATTTGCTAAGCAAATGTATTTCTGTTTTTCTCATCTTAACTATTGGAATGTTTCTATCAGTACTTTGATAGGCTAGAACTTGCTGAGTGTGGCAATTCTCCTCTACAGACAACACATTCCCTACCCAACATTTTCATGGCAAAGTAATCCAATTGTTACCGGAATAGAAAAAGGCTGAGCAAACTGCAACATAATGATTCTACTCCCTAGCTATTGATAAATGCCATCATTTTAGCTAGTATGGTTAATATGTAAGATACACATATGCTAGTATGGTCAATATGTAAGATATACTGACACATGCACAAACATGGCTTGACATATTGCTTATGGCTCTAATTTTGTGAGATTAAGCTAAGAGGCAATAATATTAGGCTGAGCAAATATCTAAATCTTGGACATCCCTGTTTTAAGTCTATTCCTAGAATTATCCACGAATTGGATTGTATTTTGCAGCACAATAGCCGGTGAAATAAATAGTAAAATAAACAAAGGCATACATAATATTCAATTGGAATATGATACTTCATAACCACTGAATACTTCATAACCACTTTGTTTAATTCAAAAATCTGCTGATTTAATGAAAAGTAATATCTTACTATAAAGGAAAATACAATCCAAATTTACAAAGATTAGCACTTACTTGGAAATCATGAAGAGAATTTGGCTGTAACAAAATGCTTGTAGTTCTGATGGGATCTCTGCCTTGCTAAATAGGGAAGAGATAACACGAATCTGAATATACATTTTTAGCTGCTGAAATCATTACAGCACGGAAGATTTACGTATTTACTATGATGTCTAGAATAAAACCATTTAATTTCATGGGTAAACTACACATTTTGTAAAAAAATGGTTTCTTAAAGTTTGGATGTTTGAATTTGTTGTCAAAAGAGAACTGAAGCAAAATGTACCTCTTGTATTGGGCACAAGTAAGCATGCACCCAACATAAGAGCATCCAAGTATAATTTGGATCCAATGTCCTTTTCTTTGCATCTCCATATAATAAAGAGGATTGGTATCCTATCTAAAGGCGCATGATGGCTCAATGGTTAAGATGCTGGGCTTGTCAGCTGGAAAGCTGACAACCCGGGTTTGAAATCCAAGCACCACAAAACGGGGTGAGCTCCCATTGCTTGCTCCACCTCCTACCCACCTAGAAGTTCAAAAGCATGCAAATACAAGTAGATAAATAGGTACCACTTCAGTGGGAAGGTAACAGCATTCTGTGCATCTTGGCATATAGTCAAGGTGCATCTATAGTCATAGATGGAAATGTTTTTGGAGAAGGCTGGCTCTCTTAGCTAAGATATGGAAATGAGCAGCACTCTCTAGTGTCGAACCCAACTAGACAAGGAAAACCTTTACCTTTATCCTGTGTAAATAGTTTAATCAGACTTTAATCAGATTTTTCACCTTGAGAGATTCACCACATTTAAGCTATTTGTCCAATTACATGCATAACTTTTAGGAAATACTTTCAGAATCCTACCTATAAGAAATTGCTGTTTGTTCTTACTGTTTTTATTCAAAGAAAGCTATGTACTGAACACAAACAAGTCTTGTAAATTAACTATTCTAGATTAATTTCTAAGCTTTTTTTCCCATTTATTTCCAGAAAGTGTTCTGAAAGCAGACAACAATACTTACAATAAAGTTTTTGACAGTAGCAAAGCTATTGCGAATTTCATTAATATTCATTGAAACACTGCAAGGTCCAAACTGGAAAATCGTGTCCCCAGTCACTGATGCCAAATATAAGGACCATTTGGTGAACAAAAGAAAGAAAGATGGGCCGAAGATTTTCATATTTTTAGAAAATGAAACAGTTGATGCCCACAGTCCTGTTGAAATACAGTGTAAAATAAAATTAATGTTTAATATTATTTTATTACATTGTTTCTTATAAATCCAGAGCTCTAGCGGTATTAGGATTTTTTTGCAGCAATTATAACTTATATCAACAGTTTGTTTTTCAATGTATGTATCTGAATGGAATGTTTCCCCATCAAGGAACAGTAGAGTGGGGGGAGAGAGGGGAGACAGATTGAACAAATAAAAATCCTTCTGCTTTACCTAGCATTTGTATCATATCAAGTTGATAAGATTTAACAACACTAGACCAAAATGCATTTATGCTTACCCACACCAGTGCTTGTATCTTTCTTTCCTAACATTCCATTTTCTAAAGTAGAATAGTTTAATCCATATATTTAGGACCATTTACATGGTCTAATAAACTGCTATATTTTACAGCCAGGTCATGTGTTAATATAAGTAATAATTATATAGCTGATATATCTCTCACACATGGTTTATTCCCTGCTATGGAATATTGTGAGTTTATTGAGCAGAATTAAAATTTTGATTCCCAGAAAATAAATATTGCATAGAAGAAAACGTGGTAGACAGTTCCTGAATCAATGAAGAGGCAACTGATGTAAGTATTAAGATACACATATAAGGATCATAAGGATCATTAGCTCGACTAATCATAAACTATATATCTTTTTAATATTAACTTTTAAGATTCTGAATTTAAAAAAAAAAAGTTGAGTTTAGGGCAGGATTTGTGAGTTCCAGCATTTTTTCCTGAACACATATACCAATAATCTGCAAAGAATAAATGAGTGAACTAACTGCTTTCCCTGATAGCTTTGTTGTTACCCTATATGTATCCTATATATGTTCAGAAAAAATTGCCTATCACTGCTTCTATCATGCTGCTAGAACTCACAAATCAAGGCAGGTTGAGTTCCTGCCCTGAACTCAACCATTTTTTTAATCCAGAATCTTAAAAGTTAATTTATTAAAAAGATATACAGTATATAGTTAATCAAGCTCATGATCCTTATATGTGTATCTTAATATACATGCATGCAGTTTTCAAAAACTTTGGATGACTTTTCTCATTCTTTCGTGTTATAAGAATCTAGTCAGTTAAAGCTAATATTTTACATATTTGGGTACAAAGGCAATTGTTTTCAGTTTTTTGTACTCTCAGACAATTAAGATTCTTGAGTGCATATGGTTTCAGAATATTATTTTTAAATAACTGTCACTCATGAAATTAAATAAAAAGCCATGCCTATGGGGTTATAAGTCTTGTTTATGAATATTGTAAAACAGAGGAAACCGGTTTCCCGGGGCTGCCCCTAGTCCTGGGAATGAACCTATCTAGCTCTGCCAATAAATATCCATATGCATTAATGTGATCATCTGAAACAAAGCACGGTATGCATAAAAATTGCTTACATATTAAGCCACTTCTACTGCAAATGACCAAGCTAATACAGCATCCTAACACAAAGGCAAAGCTAGGAATAGAGCTTCAAATAATTCCATTTAATTCATCTACAGTGAGGATTATTATTTTTAATCTTTCAAAATAATGCAAAACTAGAATCTCATATTATTGCAAACTAAAATATCACTTTAACTTCAGTTAGTTCAACTCACCATCCTGGAAAACAGAT